TCCTGTGAAGAGAGTCTATCATTTTTTCACTACTTTTCATCTTTACTTAGTAGTATTAGTCTACTTTCGTTGCTAACAGCATGTTTGAAAAAAATTCAATACGATCGCTGGCTTTACAAAAGAGATAAGAGAAACTAATGAATATTTCCACCCACCTGCTGCTGCGCTTCAATAGCTTCAACCTTTGCCTTCTGAAAAAGAACGCAGCAATGATATCATTATAGTTGAGATAATTGAAAAAACGAAAAAACTGTAACACTAGCTTGCGGAAGAAAGAACAAAGCGGAAAATGAAAAATCAAAATACCTTAGCCATCGACTCGTCCGACAGCTCGTTATGAACGACGTCCGGCACTGAAAAGAGTGTTTTCAACTGGCGCACTAATGAGTACGCTTGTGGAAGGTTCTCTGATTGATTCTCGATGGGCCAGCCTCATCGGGACAACTACCGAAATTCTTCACTGACGGAGTCAGTAGCTTAGAGGTGCGGTTTAAAGTGGAACACTTTTTGTCCATTATTTTGACATTGAGACGAAGTGAGCTCACTTATGTGACAAATCTCATCAACACCGAATAAGAGCAGATGAAATATTTTATATTGTACGCCCGGTAGTGGTTCGATTTTAATGCAGATTTTTCAAGTTACCCTAAAATTCCATAGATAGAAGCGGTTCAATTTTCCCAAAAAAAGAACGAATAAATACGCGCCCTCTTACGGTGTATCATGATGACTGAAGGAAAAATGTCCGATTGAAGCGAAAAAAAAAAACGAAAAGATTAGAAGTACGGAAAAAAGGTGCAACGAAATTCCGGAGAAAACGTGTACGCACGTGGCGATCTCCCAGTACAGACCGTTCTATCTGTGGAATCTCAGAGTAGTTTCTTTTCATGGTTTGCATATATCTTCAAGTTTTGTATACAGCATCAGAAAGATTCATAACAATATAAACGACTTGTTTACCTTATAAATTTGTGACGAAACAGAGTTTCCGGCAATACACGATAATTTTCCGATGTCTAAGTAATTGAGGAATCAAAAAATTTATCTTTTAATAGAAAAAACTCTGTTCTATCGGATTATTCAAGTGCATAAGTTTTTCTATAACGCCTTTGAAACTTGAATATTTTCAAAATCTCGAAAGAAATAGAAATCAGAGTTTAAAGTTTTACAATTTTGGACGTGAGAGTGACGGCTGCAAGCATGAGCGATACTTTGGGGAACACAGTTGAGTCCTGCTTGATAAAATCCCGCCTATTCTTTTTCTTTCGCTTCGAAATATGAGCCACAAAGCCAAGAAGTGGACGAAAAACATGTTGTGAGCACCAGAAAAATCAAGATTCTGCTGCAGATGCATAAGTCGCTTTTATGTGACCAATAATTTACAAAGTTCAATTCAGCTGAAATATGCTGATTTTGGGTGAAAGCGGCTATTATCCCACATCATATGAGCACTGCAGAGGTCGTGCTGTCGCCCCGGTACTGATAATGCTTTTCAAGAACTAACGTTTCCAGAGATTCTATTTTAATGTCTTTATATTTATGCCGTGTAAGAATTTCCAAAATCACTAGAGCAGTATTCCGAAGTGATAGCTACCACAAAGTAGAACGGAACTTTTGTAAACGATATCATGCTAATCGAACATTGTGTGAATGGAGCTCGATGTGCTGAGTAGTGTAGTAGAGTAATATAAGAAATACAAAAAGATAAACATTAGTGCTGGAAAATGAAGCCTCTTTATAACAATAAAAGTCTTCTGTATACAAGGACGTTCAAAAAACTATACTAATTGTGCTTTCTGGGTATTTTCCTTGATGATCAGGTTCAGCAATTATAGTGAAATGCCACTTGAGATTTCCGAGGCTGATCAATCTCACTTCAAAGCGTCACAGACCTATATGATTCTACAAATTTCCTGAAGCCCTATGCGCTGAGTGGCATAAAGGCATGGCTAGACAGCCGATAGGCAGACGTGGATTCTACCCCTCAAGAGCAAGTCCGTTGCTAATCGAAAGATTTGGTTGTGAAAAACTTAGTAGAATGAGAGGGAGAGAGAAAGAGAGAGAGTGAGAGAAAGCGGACTAGCATATTAAATGAGTAAGACAGTTTGTTGGATCGATTACAATTACTTATACTTCAGGTTAGATGGAAGAGGTGTAAGATATTTAACTTTCCAGAATGTAGTTTAGCATATTCGCGAAAAGCGAAGCCGATAGAGGTCATATTCATCTTGGACGTTACGCTCCGTATGTACTTCTTTTCAATTCTGTGATAACAAGTGGACAATACTTTTGCTTTTTAACGTCTTTCTTTTCTGGCCTTAAATTATTTAAGTAAAACAAAAAAAATTGAGTCGAAGTATGAAACGATGATTTCAAGAAACTGGTCTGTCGCTCCTTTGTTGACTACTAATAGCTAGATTTATACTGATTTTGGTGCATATGAATATCACTTTTGAAGGACACATTTCATTGAAGGACCAAATTCTCTGTCAGTCATGTCGTCGAGAGCCTGTCAAGATGAAACCGATGCAAGTTCGGACAGAAGCACTGAACGCCTTGCTATAATAGGTCTAATGAGCAGTTTTATCCTTCTGCTTTTTGCAGAATCAAAATAGGAGCGTATCCCAACTTCAAATCGGTCTAGAAAGATTGAGCATGGGTCTGCGTAGCCTTCGCCAGCAGATTCCCTCAAAAAATTGCGATGTCCTCATGATACGTCAGCATTTTCACTCTTCAGCCATTGCAATTTCCGACAACAATTTAGCTTTTTCATTTAAATTATCTGGACGGGTATTTGTCGAGTTTCTTCTTGTTAACATATATTTCAAGTTTATTAGCCAGTAATTTCACAAGTCGCTTCTCGAAAAGATATTATAAATGTTTTTAGTAAAAGTGCGATTTTCAACAAAACGTTCATATAGACGGGAATATAGTCTAGTTGCTTACTTTCAGCGGGCAATAGTGTTAGTGTCTGTCGTACAGGTTATCTTACCGAAAGTGCATAAAATTTGCCTTGCTACCTGCATTCTAACCAATCTTTGACTAACCTCAGCGAGGCATAATGTACTTCATTGTCACCGTTGCTGCCAAAGTTGGAAAAAGAATTCTCTTTTTCTTTGATAAACCTCCTAAGTGATAAATTTCCCATAGAATTGCCCACTTCAAAAAAGTTCGACATCACTGTTTGAACGATGGCTCAAATATAAGTCAAAGAATTAGATTGGCGTTATCGTTAAAGGAAAATGGTGTGAGTGGACCCTTTTACACGAGGGGTGACGACTTTTGGGGGCTGGTATACCCGAATGTATCTTCTGGCTACTAAAAGAAAACCACACTGGACCAGCGCTAAACATTACAGCAAGAGCAGAGCTCACACCCTCAAGCTAAGCTCAAATCCATCATAGGCTCTATCAAGTCTACGCATGGCTCATTTGCGACAGGGAAAGCAGTTAATGATGCGTTGACGACCCGCCCAACATTTGAGACGACGCGTCTATGAGCCTGAGTTGCCTAGCAATTTCTCACAAAAAAAGATCTATAGAAGAATAGCGCAGGTTAAATGGCTTAAAATATAACGGTATTATTCTAACATCATCCAATATAGTCTGTATGAATATTTAGAGCCTTTCGAGATTGGTACACGTGGTTCCGACGTACTAATCTCGAAAATGTTCTAGAAATTTTCACAGGCTATATAGAATGTTTATAGCGAGGTCTAAAAACAATCGATGGGATGGATTTTAGCATATTCACTGCCACGGGTAATGTGCGGTGTGAGCCACTAATGAAGCGGGAGACATCGCCAAAACGTAGCTATATTGAATGTTTGAAGCGAGATTTGAAAATAGTCGATAAGATGGCTTTCAACATTATCCCTGATGTATTGACAAGTTCATTTGGAAAATACTAAAACCTGTGCATTGGGTCAAATGAGAATTGTCACAATTTTGTACAGCAACCTGAAATTTCAGGAATAATGATTACTAGTTCGAGAGGAAAACTCGTCTTGTGCCTTGTATAGCTTCTTAACCGTCAACGAGTCTTTGAAAAAAAAAGTGTAAATAAAGAATTACATGTATCGAAGTGGTTGACTAGAAATCACTTTGATGAAAATGTTACGTGACTAAAAAAAATCAAAACATAAGGTTTAAATACCTTTTGATTCTTCAAAGTTTTCCCATTCTATACTGCTTCTCCTGTTAATAACTGGAGGAGGTGGAGCCTAAAACAACATTTCAAATCCGATGACAAATACTCGAGTGCTCCAAGCTCAGCTATCGGGAAATGGTGCGGAAATTATTACGAGAAGTGCATCGCATAATTTACATACAGCGATAGCAAATGGATAGACCGTTCACTCAGCCTATATCAAGAAAAAATAATTTACTATGACAACCCTCAAATTTCTCGCTAATTTTTGACTCAAACGTAGAAATGCTTCTTATCAGATTTTCTGATCACATTTTTGAGAGTCTGCTCCTATTATTTGCATAAATTTGTCCACTGAAAATTTTGTTTCCTTAGTTGCACGTGATGTCATTGCATAAACTGTATACTATAGTAGCAATAATGCCTTAAATTGTACTGCAGTGGCAGCTGAATCATCTTCACTCTTGCTTAGGTTATAGGACACATATAGAGCAATGGCCAGAGGTGCTTTGTAATACAAACTGGATGTGCCCTCATGTCGAGTCGCGTCCATGCTTGTCAGTCCCCATGCTTGCTAGCTTTGTATGAGACTTGCTCGAAAAAATGAACTTAGCAACTTTATCCATTATCAGATTGCCACAGAATGTACCACAGAAGGATAGACATGATTACATGACCTTGCGATTCTCGATAATGTTGAGCGCATCGGCGTTCGGTCGACACCGAGCGTTTTGATTTTGCACTTCAGAGATGTAATAGTGAAGAATCCGAGTATTTTTACTGTTCTATGTTCCACAGTTCTATGATGTTTTGTTTACTCCTAAGAAAACTGAGTGATGAGCAAAAAACACGACCTCAGCCGGGAGTCGAACCCGCGTTTCTTCTATACCGGGGACGTGAGTTACCACTACACCACCGAGGCACATTTGCACCATCACTCATTCTTCAATATCTCTATGATAGCCATCATTACCACCTTTAACAGGTCTGGTCGTGTATGCAATTTCGCAATATAAACCCAGCTGAGCTGACAGCCTTTGTTAGACCTAATACTGGAGAATTCTAGTATTTTTACTACTTTTCCACAGCATTATGATGTTTCATTTAGTCTTAAGAGATTTTGAGTGGATGAAACGCGGGTTCGACTCCCGTCTGAGGCCGCATTCTTCACTTCAAAGAGATAACTGATGCACGACCAGCAGGTCATTGAAACTTTTGCAGTTTTAGTCCTATTTAGTTTCGCTGCACGGAAACTCACATCTCAACATAGGCAATTCTTGTAAATCGTTCAAAAAGGTTCTTTTCAAATCTAAAAAGCTAGCAATTGCCTGTGGTAAAGACGTTCACTCACTTTCGATAAGCTCGGGTTTCCAAAAACAAGCAGCGTGATTATAATCCAGGAAGAGCTATAAGGAATGCAAAATTACCATTCTGCTATACAAACCCGCATGTAATTTCAGACATTTTTGTTATTTATGAAGACACCACAACGAATCAATTGATTTATGCGCACGGATTGGCAGTATTTGATTTCAAGTTGTACAAAATAAATAAAACACTAAATCGCACCTTATTTTTATATTGTGGATTTTCTTCCAGAATATCCCCGTCATAGTCGTTTAGTGGTGTTGTTCGGCCAGAGACGTGACCACGAGACTGAAAAATGCAACACTCTAACGCAATAATTGCGGTTCAGCGCTGAACAAAACACAAATCACCTTAAACATAATAGCCAATGCAATATCCAGACCAAAATGACATCAAATATTTTCGTGGTTGACTGTATTGTGGCTAGCATTGCAAAAATCTTTTGAGTTCAATGGTTGGTTTCGTGAAAGCGAATGTTGCTAAGTGTTTTTTTCCTCTTTTCAAAGGAATTCTAGAGCAACTGTTCTACCTGAATTCCTCTGCTAGTTCTTTTCAGCTCCTTTGTTCCTTTCTAATAGTTCTAAACATGATAACCCACGCTTGCTAATTGCGTAGAACTACTTGATAAAAAAAAAATTTTCAAAGGTAATATTACCATTGTAAATAATAAGTTTGCTGTTTATGCGCTTATTAGTGCTGATAATGATTCCGAAAATGGAATTGATTTATCAAAAGGTTGCGCTGGATTTGAAGGTTTTCTTCCCGCTGAATCTCTCTATAAAGAACTCTGAAACAGGTCGATAGTCATTCTCTTGTGTATCCGGCAAATCGTGGAAACTCTTCGCTGATACCTCTTCTCAATTAGTCTTCTTTCAGGATGTATTAGCATTCTAATCCATCACAAACTTCTCGACCTGCAGGCAGATATTGCTAAACCTCTGACTGCTCATTTTTGATAAAGATCAGAATATCCGCTTTGCTTTGTCACTCACTTTATATATTGTGCTCCTAACGTACGTTAATTTCAATCGCATATAGTAATTCTGATCTATTTTACTCTATGCCTGGATAGCACTCATGCCTTCAGCTTGTATATCAATGCACAAAGAATTGTGGACTTGAAAATTCGGGTACGGATTTGCTCACGATGTGTTCCTCGTCTACAACATTGAATCTTTGATTCTGTTCTCTACCCTGAAGTCACTTGCAGTCTTTTCTTTACTAGAAAGCATCGAAAGTCATAGGCTGCCTCCATAAATCGCTTCTTGATAAGAGCTGTCTCTAGATGGACACTGATCATTACGGACTGTCAAGTTTCTGTTTGCACCATCGGAGATTTTTATGCACATCATTCTTTTGGAAGCAATGATTACTCGCGAAGCTGTATTCCTTGTTCTTCATATATAATTCGATGACCATGTTAAAAACAGCTTATATCAAAAGCCTCTTTGAGCGAAACAACGATGAGGCTGGTAAGTAATTGCAGCTTTAGCTTTTTCAGAAGTGTTGGCGTTCTTAATCAGATGATAGTATTATTTAGTGCAACCCGTTAACATCTTATCATAAGGGTGAGCTTGCCGTTTTACTCAGTCACTACACACTCATTTGATCGTAATTGGCTCTAACGGGTCGTTAGTCCTTCACAGGATTAGCAGTTCATAGCCTGTGTGACTCGTTTTCAAGAGACACTCAGCTCAATCAACTTTTCAAATGATTCAAGATAAATGTTTTATCACTATCTTCAACGATTTTCTAAAAACTAATTATACTTTTACCTTAACGTTATCTGAAAAAAGGTTCTTCTACGGTTTAGCTAATGCACAAAATTGAGAAGCCAATCTCGTGTATTAAGTAAATCGTAAAATAAGCAAGACGATGAGTTTTTTCAATGCTTGATTTTTCTTCCTCTCACTTATCTAGATGCTCCTCTGACGGATGGTCATAGCCTTGTGAGTGAAAGCCTTTTGCGGTGTTTGTATGCGTATATAGAAAATGAAATAATAACTATAGCTTTCCCAGCTTCTCATGCGATTTCCGCGATCACTTTTCTGACACAGCTGTATTGCAAGCTCTTTTGAAATAGGAAAAAGAATCTTAATTAATTATTGATTATTTATTAATTATTGATGATGGCAATTAAAGGTATCCATTCTCATTCCCACTCATCTCGCATTCATTTGAGATGAGTTTTCGATCAGTCGACATCCAGGATTGAATTTAGGTGCACACATTTGCAATCAGGTCACGCAGATATACGTGACATGATTAACTGATTTTTTGCATGATCTGCCATTACATACACTGAGCGAATCTCAGTAATAGTTGCATACGACTCGTTTCGTCCCATTCATACTCCACAAAGATTTCCGTAGATACAGCGTGTTGCTTCAGTTCCTACTCGAAAAAGAATTGCATCCTTTTTTATGATTGTGGATCAATGTTGGTAAAGACGATTTCCTTGCTATCATGAGGACATCCGAGCTGAGGCCGTTCTCATAAGAACATATGGGAAGACGTTGGGAAGGAACCGAGCTTTGCTTTCTGCTAGCCTGCACCAGTATCCATGTGTGATTCCTTTTTTGGATATATAGAACAGTAATGCATGATTAGAGACAACATCTTATATGAGGCACTAAATATTATCTATTGGCCAATCTCTTTTTTTCCAAGATTTCCTTGACAATCTGTTCACTAATTAATTTTAAACTATGAACTACAAAAAAAAATGGAAATCAGAGTTGAACCTGTGGAGGGATTTGAGAAGAGATGTTGTCATAGAAATCCGAGTATGACATTTCAGACTTTCGCCGACGAGACCCTGAAAAATTTATTGTAGCCGGCGGCAAATAGAATGAATCAAAATCCATGTGGGCAGACTTAGCAACACTACCTGCTCTTTCCTTGAGAGGAATCTTGACTTTGATCTTCTCCTCTTCTTTCGTCTCCAGCACACCTGCATAAGACCGAATATCCGTTATAGAAACTCATCGCTCCCACTTTAGATAAATTGAAGTTTCATTTTCCCTATGTTAGCCGTGCGCCATTTCGAAGGTTTTTTAACCCCATTCGTTAATGCCTGGTTTGTTTTACGCGATGTCAATACCAGTCCCACACCATTTTCCATATAAATCAGGCTGCTTTGATACCGTATTCCTTTGGGAGGATAGCAACACTCACTTGATACGACGGTAGCCATCGTAAATGATTGTAAAGACAAATGCATAGTGTATCCCATAGAGACTGTCTATTAGAGAGTGTTTCATTCTTATTCTTTTTATAACATTTTCCTTACTATGCAAGTGTGTAAGAGGCAGCGTTACTCCCTTATAGACTTCTCCTAAGCTGCTGCACATCTTCAACTCGACATCAATCAATCTACTCCTGTTGGATTTAACAGACAATATTTCCACTGTCACCTAACTTCTCTATCTTTATGACTATTCAGTGTACTATATACTATATTATATTATATAAAATAGTGTACTTATATGAAGATTTATTCGCTCAAATCCAAAATGGTTCGCCCATATCTTGCGCATTTGGTTAGTACGAATTTCGCCAGGCAACGGCAAATGGGACAAAACTATTTTTGAAAAATCTTTACTATCAGGACTATTTTCGCTATTTCATCCGCGAAATTGCTTTTTTGCCTATAGAATCATCTTTCTTCGGATCGAAATAATGGATTACAGAATTTTTGGATATCAAATAGAGGAGAACACACCATCCGAAGGTGCACTGAAGGCGAATCGCTCGAGGGCGCATGACTGCGTGGGCGTGGTTGGTCGTGGTCGTTGAGCGGTCGAGTTGCTGTATTGCCTTCTCAGTGCTTCATGCTCCGGATCCTACAATGACCACCTAGTTATTTATCCACACTATGGCTAATCATAGCTATGAAGTCATTGGGCCAGTAATCTGCACAATTATTCTCATCTTGTAAAGGAGAAATAATTCATTAATTGATACATGTGTTGGACAACTTCATCGGGGAACCCCAGTCGGACGATTTGTTTTCTGCTAGTTTCCAGATAAGAGCCCTCACTCGTTTTAGTTAAACTTTCTAAATGGGCATGATAAACGACAATGGAATTCATATAGCTATGTTGAATTACTGGGGCGCCATGCCCGAGTGTTTGTGATGCTCGTTGCGGCGCGTGTGGAGCCGAGTTCCACTTCCCCATTTCTCTAACTCTCTCCGGCAGTCAACAACAATGCCACAGCCAGGCTATCTACGAAATCGCAAGGAGAATCGCTCAATCGGTATTCTACGCCATTTAAGAAGAAGACGAAAGAACGAGTGAATACTAGGAGTACTAGGATCCGCACAGTGAAAAAACACTGTTGACGGATCAAATAAGTTGCTAGAAATGTTGAATTATTGGAATAGAGGTTATATCTTCCGCGCACAAACTGATAGCCATACAAATATTCAGTCGCACCTGCACGTATTTCTTGAACGCTGATGGAGCACCAGGAACTCCGGGAACTGGTTTGTCAAGTTTGACTGAAATTTCGAACATGCTTTAATGAAGTGAAAATTTTGCTTTTTTCTTC